AAAAAAAAAAAAAATTGCGGTTACTTGACCGAGAACAAGTTTATAAAAGGCAACCGAAAGTGGCAGATCCATGAGGTCCCGTGAGGTCGTGCGGTCGCCTGAGGTTGTGAGGTCACGTGAGGTCGTGAGGTCGCGAGGTCGCCTGAGGTCGTGAGGTCGAGAGGTCGCCTGAGGTCGTGAGGTCGCCTTAGGTCTCTTGAGGTGTTCGATTTCTCGTGAAGAGATGAATTCTTGAAGACAAATTTGGTGAAGATGAAGTGCAGAGGAGCAGGGGTGCGGCGCAAGAAATTTTCGATTTGAAATAATTTGGGGAACTTGTGTAAACAAAGTAATATTGACCTAAGGGTAATGTAGTAAAAATATATGTCAAAATGGCTAAAAAAGAGGTTTTTTATAAAAGGTGGCCAAAATTTGTGTTTTCTTAACTTTTATGACTATTTAATGGTATTAACACATTATCTAATTCTTTGCAAGAAAAGTATAATTAGAATATATTATAATATACCAGAGAGGTAAACGGGACTGTATTTGTAGAGCTCAACTTCATTAATCTCGGCAACTGGAATTGGCTGATTGTTGACTTTCTTTGCCAAGTATTCTAAAACGAGCTCTTGGTCGGTGGGCATGAATCGGTAACCTGGCGGGAATTGACACGAAGTTGAAGCTGATTCTGATGACCTTTCTCTCCAATCATAATCTGAAGCTGAATTATGATTATTATTATTATTAGTAACAGTATCATCATCAATATTGTTATTCTCCATGCCTACGAATTAATCCTAACAATGGCACTTGAAAAACTTAAAAAGAGATGAGACATAAATTTATATTGCTTTAATTTGGCGTCACGTAGGCAAAAAATAAAGGGCTTTTGGGCCAATCAACGTCTAATTCGTGTTTAGTACAAGTAATTTAGAGTTTGTGTCGATTTAAGTCTTTGATTTGACTATTTAATATTATTATTTTATTGTGGGGGAATATTTTATCAAACTTATCACTTTATATTTTAACAGATTACTTATCGCTTCTCTGATGAGATTCCTTTTCTTCGGAAATGCTAAGGAGCCATCCGATGGTTCCGTTATGGAGCCATCGGACCCACGTGGCATCACATGGGACAATGAAAGTGTAAACGTGGGCCATATTTTTTCTGTACCATGTGATGCCACATGGGTCCGATGGCTCCATAACGGAACCATCGGATGGCTCCTTAGCATTTCCGTCCTTTTCTTTCCTATGTAAATTAGAGATGGGTAAGTCGAACCATTTCTCCAAAATAATGGGCGCCCAGCCGATGAGAGCATGTCATAGAACCTTCAACATGACGCAATCTTCCGACAACGGCGGCAAGCAGACCTTCCCCCTTCCAGCGGAGCAGTTCAGGCCCCTTCAGTCCATATTCCGTCGGCGGCTGCTCAACGGAATCGGTGCCGCTTCTCTACTGGCCGTCGGCGCCAATCTGGGGGGCGTATCGAGCTTCCTACTGAGCTTCTCGCCGGAGGCTTCTCGGAGCCTCAAGCTCGACGCGCTTTATCCGATCGGCGGCTACAGCCGTTACATAGATACGAATGAGGGATTTGGTGAGTAAGTACTGCTGCTACTCCATTTAATTGTAGTACCATTATTAATTTTATTTTTTTCGAAAAATTAGGGTTATTGATTTGGTGGAACAGAATTTGTGTATCCGGAGAGTTGGTTAGGGGATCAGACGGTGCTGTACAGAGCAGCTGGAAAGGCGGAGAAGCCGGTGGATGCTCCGCCTCTGGATGGTGGTGGTCGGCGGCGGAGGAGGGTGAATGAGCCAGTGGTAGCTTTCGGTCCGCCGGGGTCCACGGGAGAGCTGAATGTCAGCGTGATTGTATCGACCGTCCCCATCGACTTCTCGTAAGACTGCATTTATTTTATTTTATTTTTTTCTTGAAAAAATTGTGATGGGTTGAGCCATCTAACGGTTAGGCCGCCTCACACGAGAATTTGTGGATTAACCGTCAATCTATCAATCTATTCAATAGATTGATACAATTTTGTGCCATCCCTCTAATTGATGCTAAATTAGCGGATTGGAATTCATTTAGGTATTTGACGAATCAAATCTGATGAGCTTGTCTTGGGAAGAGCAGATTAAGAAAAGTGCATAAAATAGTCGGAAAAGAGCTAATCGGCTTCTTTGTTAGATATGCTAGTTGCTGTCCTACTCCAAATTGACATTTACTAAAGAATTGTTTGGATTGTGTTCGTCTATTACTTATATACCCATAGCATATGCTGAAATTAGTTACAGATACATGGTAAATCTTGTGTGATGAAATGTTTATGTGTTTTGTAGCATTCCCTTTGATGAGCAGAAACATGTATTTGTTCATGCCATTATTTTTAAAACACCCTTAGTCGGCATGTGTTCTTCATACGATAGTTGGAGATGGTTATAGTTTTTTCGTGTCTTTTTCCTTGTTATTTTCAGTTATTCTTAATCTTATGCTATATTTCTTTTGCGAGCAACTGTTTTCTTCCTCCCAAATGTTATTGCATAAGATATCAAAAGAAGAGTGCCTTATTTTTCTGCAAGGCCTGATTGAATTCAGTGATGCTCAATTTAAGCTCGACTTAGAAATATTCTCAAGTTGAGTATGTGGCACTCTTGGAGACACTCAAATGAGACTTGCTGTATTCTTGTTATAGTTGGCTAGTTGTATTCACGTGGTTCATCTATGAGATTATAAGTTGTCACCATTATTTAGTATATGATTGTACGAATACGCCTTCTCAGGTTTTCTTCATTTCATGCCTTTTGGATAGTGTTACAATAATTTTTTCTCTCTTTTTGCCCCCAACAAATTGCAGGAGTATGCTATCCAAGTCTAAAAATGTTCATCAAGAACGATCCAGCCTTTACAATATAGCAAATTCAACTGTAAATCTGAGCCATGGTGGAATAATACGGGCTATGGTTCATTTTCCCATACGTTAATGCGTGGAAATGGGTCTGACTCGTCATCCCTTGAACAATCTGTGGATGCTCATTCCCTGTCTGATGGTGGAGTTAATGAGGAAGATAATACTCAGAAAAAATCACCCAACGCTAATCGACTCCACTCAGGTACTTTGCTTCAGTCTATTAGCTTGCATCCAAATATGGTGTTTTTTTTTGTTGGATTTTTCCCAGTCTTCTATGATTTTCACTATGTTTTTTTTTTCTTTTTTTTTCATTTCAGATAGAATCTATAGGCCGGAGGATTCGAATCTCCAGCAAGTTGAGCAATCCTTAAATCCAGGACCTGTTGGAAGCCTCACAGCCAGCACAACTCGAACTTGTTGGCCACTCAATTGTACGTATATTGTTATGAGAAATGAAAACACTGTATGTTTTGACTTTTGTTCGCCCTCTGAACTGTTACAGCAATACTGATGATGAGATTTGTGTTTCTCACTTATCTACAGGCCTGCGCTTCAAATCCTTACGATCCATATTATGGGAGAATGCTGGCAGCTTATGGCCAACCTATGGTAGCCACATTAACTGGAAATTTTCTGTTTCATTGTTACCTAATTTGAGTCTCATCTTTCTTTTTTCGATTGGAATTATTCTGGTTCAATTTGAAGTGCCGGGTGGATGTCTAATTTTTTTCTTCTTCATTTTTTTTTTTAATTTAAAAAATAATTATCAAGGTCTCTCAGTTGTATGATTTGCATCAAGTGAGGATGCCACTGCCTCTAGAAGTGGCACAGGAGCCAGTTTACGTGAATGCCAAGCAATATCATGGTATACTGCGTAGGCGTCAATCGCGCGCCAAAGCCGAGCTGGATAAACCAATTAGTTGATAATATAATAATTTACTTTATTAAAATCTTGCAGCCATATCTCCATGAATCCCGACACCAGCATGCCATGAGAAGGGCAAGAGGCTCAGGTGGCCGTTTTGCAAAGAAATCTGATGGAGACACTTCTAAGGCCTCAGAAAACACCAAATCCATTGACACATCAAGATCAGAGCCTATGTATGAGATTCAGTCAAACCATGCACTCACCATGCAATGAGGTCACAAACATGAAATTAGAAGTGGAGTTTGTGGATAAAACAGGGCGGTGTACAAAATAGCTCGTGTTCAGAATCTGGGCTTTGGCTTTCCTTAGAGGTGGCCGGCAACTCATTCTTGGCTGGTTTTACAATGGGTGGTGGTCTGTGGAAGGGGTGTTGTGTGTTGTTTTTATTTGCTTTTGTACAAAGTGTAATGTAATTATTAAGTCGGCCATGAGCAGACCGAAAAAAAAAGTAAAAAAAAGTTAANGTTGTTAAATAAAATTTTTATAGATCAAAATCGTTTCTACATCAACCGTCTCACGGCAAACTAAAGCAAAGCGGGCGACCACAATCCGGTCCCTCACTTGCTAGTTAACATAAAATAAAACAGGGCAAACCACACTCCATTAAAGGAGGCTATGCCAAGTCATTTCCGAGGGCTTTCTACTCCATGTCGACAAGTACATTCGGGTACAAAGCAAATATATTCCTATAGACATGGGTTTGAATCTTCCGAATAATGAGCTCCGGAGTTTGCACCTCATTTACAAAAATCTTTCTATTACGAGCAATCCAAAGGAAGTATACCGTAGACGCAAGCCAAAGGAAGTATACCGTAGACGCAAGCCCGGCCTTTGTTGCTTTTGTTCTCCAACCGGAGTCTTGAGATTCCTTCTTAATCCACTTCAATGCACTCTTTAGAGTGGAGAGTTGCGTGCTTTTACTTGTTACATGAAATTGTTATTGCCATTGCATAAATGCAGTAAAACCCATCCTATTATTGCTGCAGTAAAATCCATTCAATTGCTAATGCAAGCCCTGAGTAATTCAGCTCGGTTAATGTGAAAGATCAGAATTCTTTTGGCATTTCAGCACGAGGAATAGCATGACAATCACTTTGGCAATTCAAATTCTAAGAATGATGTCAAATGCTTTGTAGGATCATACAAAAGATCATGCTAATATCAGATTTCTGAGTCTGTCTTGTGTTTGCTAAGCTAAATTCAAATACATTAGTTGAGTTATTTTTCTGAGTTTGTCACATTGAACAACATTTGCTTGTCTATGATGCCAGACAGGGCAACGCCGAATCTCGGTCTGGATTGTGGAAATCTCTCCCTCAATCCCCGTATATCCTATCCGCCCTTGCACTCAAGCCGGAAAATAGTCGATTGCGACCGGATGCGACTCTAATTGGCGGCAAGCCCGTTAAGTTTGTCGGGCCTCGGCCTTGATCTTGAGGGAGCGGTCGTAGGCCACGACATCGCCACCTCTTCAGCCGTTTCTTTGCCCGACATCGTTAGAAAAAGCCATGGGAGATGACAGAAATAGAAAGTTTTTTTCGTCGAGGAGAGAGAGAGTGTGTGTGTGTGTTATATACCTTATTTTGAGTTTAATTGATTTTCTCTATCTACATCATATGATTTTTTCTTCCTTTTTTTTTATTTTTTAATTCTAATGGAAGATTCATGCGTATTTTTTTTTTGGTAACCTATCTTTATACATAACCCTATTTATTTGCTAGATTTTAGGTAGCATTTAAAAAAAAAATTTCATTGGCAGTGTATATGTAATTACTTGTAAATCATGTAGGAGAGATATAAATTTTCCATTAGAAAATGCAAAGGCAAATTTGATATGGATCTCTTGGACTTTACTCAGGCATTGGGCACTTTGTTAATAATGGGTCATCTTCCCTCCTTAGTTGTGTGGGCCTCCAGAAGACGATTAAAATACACAACAAACCCGTATTGGTTGGACAGTGAATAACAAACTCAATCGTACTGGAGAGTAAATAGAAAACAAAAATCGTTTTACTAATTAGTGTTTTTAATTTCAATTCGCCGCAATTAAATGCATAAATAAGTAATTAATGAACTTTCATAATTTGGTTTTGACATTCAAGAATTTTTATAATATATTTTCATAATTTAGTTTTGACATTAAATGAATATTTATAATATATTTTTCATTCATTTAACTTTGTAATTCATGTAAGTCACACTGAATGTTTAAAAAAGAATTATTTTCATACTTTGATTTCATTATGCTTCGCGTCTAGCCAAAAATGTTGTTCTAGTCGAGCCAAATAGGATATCTTATATATGTTTGAACTCGCGATTATTAATAAACAAGCTCATTTTTATGATGTGTATGAACGAGTTGAGTTCGAGCTTTCGCGGGTTGAATTGAATTGTGTTATATCGAATAGTTTGATTCGAATAATAGCTTAATGTTAAGTAGCCATGGGTAAAATAGTTTATGGACATTTTGTTCTACATTTTATCTTCGTGCACATTTCATTTATGGACAAAGTGGCAGTTGTACCACTTTTATATATATTGTTACTATTGTTTGTGTTCGACATCCTCCAACTGAGATATCTATATGAATTTTAGTTTATTGATGTTGGAAATAATAGCTAACAATAGAGAAAGAGACACTCAACAAACTCAATTTTTTAGTATTCAATATCTTTCTTATGAAATAATATACAACACAAGGCTCAAACAAGTTATTTGGAAATTTGTCCAAAAACTCTATTTCTTCCCTCTCTTGGAAATCTTTAGTGAACACAAATGGAAATGAGTTTTGGGATTGATCAAGTCTTCTACTTCCTTCATAAGATTTCACAAAGAAGAGAAGTATATATAAGACTCATTGCCTTGTGATTACAAAATGTAAGAACTTATTTTCACAATTCATTTTATTTAATAGAAGACCATTAAACTTGAGATGAAACATATATTTAATTAATAAAACTCATTAAACCAATAAGTTTCAACTTTGTGAAACTTCATCTTACACCCATAGATGTAATGTGTAATATGTAAGAATGATGTCAAATGCTTTGTAGGATCATACAAAGATCATGCTAATGACAGATTTCTGAGTCTGTCTTGTGTTTGCTAAGCTAAATTCAAATACATTAGTTGAGTTATTTTTCTGAGTTTGTCACATTGAACAACATTTGCTTGTCTATGATACCAGACTGGTTTTACCTTTATAACACAAAAACTGGTTTATCTATATACTACTCTAAAAGATCGAGTGATTTATAAAAATGAACTATCTAAAAAAATTTTACATTGATACTTTTTAATGATAAATAAGTAATACATTGATACTCGTCATATCTTATATTATTAATTAATAACTAATATTTTATTTAAAAATCTTTTGCACTGTCATATTTTTAATGATAAATTAGTAATACACTAATATCTATCTTATTTTATATTTTTAATTAATAACTAAAATTAATAAATTAAATACAAATACAAACAAAGCATTCCATATCTCATATATCTGTAAAAAAAACTGATCAAACAAAAACAACATAATAAATACTTATAAAAAATCTAAATATTTTGAACTATTTATATACTTATCTCCAATTTTAACAAAATGATAAATCTTGGAAAAAAAAAATAACTTAGTTGAGGGTTAACTTGTATATAATAAATAAATTCAGAGATACATATTTAACTTTAATTAAGAGAAGATAGCCAAAATTTTACCGAAATCATTCACAAGTGAAATATACACATAGTCTAACAAACTAGAAAAGTGGAACAATCATTTAGCTACTTCATTATGTAAGAAAAATAAACTCATGTATTTAGATTTAGAATTAGAAATTGCACCTTATTAGGGCTTCTCATTCAGTCGAAACAGAAGCGGATCGACCGAATTTTTGGTTAACTGGAACTTTGGTTTATCCATTATATGAACTGAAAACTGAACCGAAATTTATGGTTTGGTTCGGTTTTTAACCGTAAATCCAAATTGGTTCTGTTTTCTATTAATTGCAATAAATAATTAATCTTCTCAATAAATTATGAATTTTTAACCCAACCAAATTTGGTTATTTTATCCGAACAAAAAAATATGACTTTTTATCACCTTGTTGAATCTTCTCGATAAATTCTAAATTCTGCTCTAATGAAGATCTCGGACCCGGACCATGACTTAGATCATGAAGGAGCCAAACTTGAGTGCAAATTAATGCTTGAGCCATTTTAGGGGTCATTGAAACTCGAAAATCATAAATCATTGAATCAAATTAATGCTTTTATAGGTTATATTTATAACTAATTCATATAAGTATATGTATATATAAATCAGTTTTCAGTTCGGTTCGGTCAACCGACCACTATTATCCAAATCAAACCGAAAAAGAAAATGTAAACAGAAAATTGAACCAAATATTCGGTTTCTATTCGGTCAAAACGAATTTTTTTGTTTCGGCCGGTTCGGCTCGGTTAACCGAATTTTATGCTCCCCTACACCTTAGTCTTATTGAATTAAATTTTGATCAAAAAAAATAAAATGTTATTATTTATTTATTTGATCGTATTTTTTTTTCTAATTTTTGTCCCCGTGCCTATAAATTTAATGAAACGTCACCTGAATATTAGGTGGTTTATATCAAGGTGAGTAATATTTTAATTATTAACACTTAAAATATTGAACTTCTTCATTCAATAATTAACTAAAATATATCAAGATATTTTAATTATTACTACTTTATTTGAGTAATTCATTTTAAAGATAAGCACTAAATAAACAATGAGAATTAAAATTTTTACATATTAAATATTTTATTTATTGATATTATCTTCAGATTCTTAACAAATGAAAGAGTCTATTTGACTATAAGTACCCTATCAAATAAGATAACTATTTCAGTAATATTTATTTAATTTGTAAATTTATTAATACTATAAGTAAAATTTGAAATCGATATTGTTTGTCTTCATAATGACCACAAAGTATAGAAACATTAGTATTTTTCAAATAACTTGTAAAAATGAATAAATTGTGTAATAGTATAAACATTTATTATTGAATGATTGTTTTGCAATCTAAACTTCTAATATACTCAATTCCTGTGCTCAAAATAATATTATAACAATTTTATAAAATTTTATAATGCTAAAACCGATTCCATTTATTTTCAAGTTGAATGAGATATCACTTGAGCAACATGATTTAAATTTGATTATATGATTATCTATTAATCAATTATGAATATCTCGCGAATTATGATATGCTTATATACATTGAAAATTAATTAAGTTTTACTAAGAAATCATATCGATATATTACCGTTACTCATCTATCTATTAATTTGTATTATTATAATAAAGCACTATTTTGTTTTCAAAATAATGTACGAAATAAGAAATTTATATATTTGAGTATAATATTAATGAGAAATTTGTACTTACATATATATATATATATATATACATTATAATATGAAGATATAAAATTATGTGATATGTAATAAGGCATATGGCCTAAAAAGTTCTATACTTAATTTTATGTATTTTTAAACAAATATAAATGTTATATACATATATATTAATAAATATGAAAGAACAATATAAATTAAGAAAATATTAAAACAGATAAATAATATAAAAATTATAATTAAACAATTACTAAAAAATATGAAAAAGAATTATAAATAAAAAATTTTAAAATTAATAAAAATAAATATAAAACTTTTAAAACTTGTACTTATCGATGTAAACAAGCTGAGTGGTTTAAAGATTTTTTATTTTTTGTGTTTATTAATTCTACGTGCAAGTTTTAAGTGATAGACAATATNAAAGAAACTGCCATATTGAAATGAAAAATCCAAGAGTAATGTTCTACTAAGAATTCTAATGAATATTTCGTTGATATAACTTCCATTTGAAAATTTTATTGGCTATTCTAACAAAGATTAAATTAAATTAAATTAAAATTTTAATGGATTTAATGATTCCAATTACTATAATTTCTTGTTGTGTAACTTTTCGTTGGAATTTTTTCTTGACCATATTTCAACTATTATAAAAACTCTCATTGGAATTTTAAAAAAATTAACGGAAGTTTAATGAGGAAAATAATTGCAGTGGTGTATCCAAGATAATTACTAATTGGGGGCACTGTTTAGTTAATAGGAAAAGTACCATCTAAATAGCATAATGCACTTACACTTTATAAATTACAGGGGAGACGCGTGATCCCTACGACGAGACGAACGAAGACGGTGATAGCTACATACTCGGCAACTGCTTCCCTCTTCATCGTTGCTATACGAAAAAAAATTAGGTAATTTTTTAAGACCTTACAAATCAAAATTCGTACTTTTACGTGATTTTAAAAGGTGTCGATCGTTACAACCCTACGTGAGTCGAAGGGTTTCGTATTTATCTGATAAATGCTCGTTTTATTTGTTTAATTTCTGCTACGTTTTACCCCGTACAGTATAGCGAACCCAACACATACATCATCAAGAGAACAAAATCCCAGCCAATTGCCGGGTTTCGCAGGTGAAGACCTTCATAAAGAAGGAGAGGAGATCCAGCTGGTTGCCGGGAACCGTGGCCGAAGAGTCCGACAGGAGGACGGAGCGAGCCTGAGAAACAAGTCCACCCGGTCGCTTCGAGCGCTGATTTCTTGTGATGTTCAGAGAGAATTTTTTATGTGGGGAAATTGGTGTACCAAAATTGGTCAATAGCCAATTTAGAGGACCAAAATTGAATATTTGCCATGTTTAGTCTATTAAATTCATTCTCCTGTATTTTCGTTTTCTCAATCTCTTTTATCCGAGATAATTAATTTAGTTTTCTAAATATTCTATATTGAATCGACCAAGGCCAGATAAATGAGAAAGACAACAAGGAATTAATAGGCCAAGTAGAAATAGGATTATTGGATCAACCAGAAATGACGAGATACCAAAAGAGAAAGAAAAGTAAAAATACTAAAATCATAAAGCAGACACCCACATGAATTGGATAGAAAGTAGAAACTCAATATTAAACCAAAACAAGAATAGCCGTTGACCGTGGGCAACAAAATCAAACCTACTCTATGCAACATTTAGGTTTTGTTTCCCTCTGCAAAACAAGTCAACAACTAGCAAGACTGTTATAACATATTAATTGACACCCTATAGAAGAAACTAATTTTTCCTTCTCTTAGACCCCAATTTTTTATCATCCGAAGTGCCCTCTTCCGCGACCGCTCTCAAGTAATCATCGAGGCTGAAACTATCATCGACATCGGCATCAAAAGGAAAAGGCTGTAGATTATTATTATTATTATTATTATTATTACTATTCCTACTTCCAAAGGTCCAATCAAAATCTGGCAGCTGGCATCGAGAATTCCACATCAACTGTGGCTGACTGACGAGGTGGTGGTATTGAGGATCATAGTAAAGACTATTCGGACCATAAAAGCAGCTCACATCAATGGGTGTGGGATTAAATAGGTGCTGGATTATTTATAAACGAAGAAGGCTGCTGATATTTATCCATCATCAACATGTGATCTTGGCTTTCGCAAAAGATATTGTTGTTGGGGAGTTCAACAACATTGTTGCTACTCTCGTTGTTAATGTTGTTATTGCTGTTGTTGTCTTCATTTTCTTCTTCTTCCTCATCGTTTACATCTTTCGGCTTTCTTTTCGGAGCCCTTTCTATCTTTTCGTATATTCGGCACAACACCCAATCATCCAACTGGAACAAATAATTCAAATGTAACATATATATAGAGAGAGTAAAATAATTAGAATTTATTTTTTTTTTAAAAAAAAGGAACCGTAGCCGAAGAGTCCGACAGGAGGACGGAGCGAGCCGGAGAAACAAGTCCACCCGGTTGCTTCGAGCGTTGATTTCTTGTGATGTTCAGAGAGAAGTTGTAGAGAGGATTTTTATTTTTAACCGCATACATCAATGTTCAGTTGGAAAAAATCTAATTTTGGTCCTCTAAATTGGCCATTGTCCAGTTTTGGTACAATAACTTTTCCTTCATAAAAAATAGTTCACTATGTTACAATTTTAATCAATTTTAGTACAGTAATCCCGACAGGCCGGATTACGTGATGACGTGAAAAATTGTAATCCTTCCATGACAAAGTTCTATTCATCCACGTCGTTTCAATCCTTGTCGACGTCATCACGTAATGCAGCACCTCGGGATTACTGTACTACAATTGACGAAATTTTAGCATAGTGGACTATTTTTTATGTGGGAAAATTGGTGTACCAAAATTGGTCAATGGCCAATTTAGAGGACCAAAATTAAAATTTTGCCATGTTCAGTCTATTAAATTCATTCTCCTGTATTTTTGACTTTATCAATCTCTTTTATCCGAGAAGATAATTAATTTAGTTTTCTAAATATTCTATATTGAATCGACCAAGGCCAGATAAATGAGAAAGACAACAAGGAATTAATAGGCCGAGTAGAAATAGGATTATTGGATCAACCAGAAATGACGAGATACCAAAAGAGAAAGAAAAGTAAAAATACTAAAATCATAAAGCAGGCACCCACATGAATTGGATAGAAAGTAGAAACTCAATATTAAACCAAAACAGGAATAGCCGTTGACCATCGGCAATAAAATCAAACCTACTCTATGCAACAATTAGGTTTTGTTTCCCTCTAAGAAACAAGTCAACAACTAGCAAGACTGTTATAACATATTAATTGACACCCTATAGAAGAAACTAATTTTTCCTTCTCTTAGACCCCAATTTTTTATCATCCGAAGTGCCCTCTTCCGCGGCCGCTCTCAAGTAATCATCGATGCTGAAACTATCATCGACATCGGCATCAAAAGGAAAAGGTTGTAGATTATTATTATTATTATTATTATTATTATTATTATTATTATTATTATTATTATTATTATTATTATTATTATTATTATTATTATTATTATTATTACTATTCCTACTTCCAAAGGTCCAATCAAAATCTGGCAGCTGGCATCGAGAACTCCACATCAACTGTGGCTGACTGACGAGGTGGTGGTACTGAGGATCATAGTAAAGACTATTCGGACCATAAAAGCAGCTCACATCAATGGGTGTGAGATTAGGAATAGGTGCTGGATTATTTATAAACGAAGAAGGCTGCTGATATTTATCCATCATCAACACGTGATCTTGGCTTTCGCAAAAGATATTGTTGTTGGGGAGTTCAACAATATTGTTGCTACTCTCGTTGTTAATGTTGTTGTTGCTGATGTTGTCTTCATTTTCTTCTTCTTCCTCATCGTTTACATCTTTCGGTTTTCTTTTCGGAGCCCTTTCTATCTTTTCGTATATTCGGCACAACACCCAATCATCCAACTGCAACAAATAATTCAAATGTAACATATATAGAGAGAGAGAGTAAAATAATTAGAAAATTTTTTTAAAAAAAGGAAGTCATGTATTGAAGTATTAGTACCCTCATGTTATTGGATCCGGGGCTTTTGGAAGGAGCATTAAGCTTGTACTCGTGCATGATCCAATTTGTCTTTCTTTCGTTTCCACTTTTAGGTTTGCCTTGATAGAAAACCAAAACCTTTTTCCTTCCCACAAGTTCACCTTTCCACATGATTAATTTATCGGCACCAGTGGCCTTCCAATACCCTATTCCGTTAACCGAACGCGTGGGCCAACTCCCGTTTGGGTACTTTCTGTCACGCGGAGTGAAAAAGTACCACTCTTGATCTCCAAGTTGAGGATACTTCTCTTTTATTAATTAATTATATAGGAAAGAAAAACATTAACAAAGAAGAACATTAATATTAATATTATTATGATAGATAAAAAAGACGAAGAAGAAGAAAGAAAAGAAAAAGAACATGCCCCCGCTAAATCACTGCATGAATTACACTATTGTCGTGAAGAAAAAAAAAAGGTGAAATAAATAAAAATTGGTAAAGAAGAAGACGAAGGTGAAAAAAGAAAAAAAAATGCCCCCGCTAAATCGGACTAAACTGCTTAGCATAATTCCAACACTACTGCCACACTATTGACTTATGAACTATACTATAATCGTGTATTTATATTCCTAACAATAAAAAAGAAGAAAAAAAGTTGTAATGCATAGGTGAAGAAGAATCACGGGTATAACAAGTTGTACGTAATTTAGATTCTTGTAAAGAACGATATATTCAAAAACCAATAAGTTACTAAATAACTTTTTTCAAGAATTTAGGAAACGATTATCTAATTCTTTGCAAGAAAAGTATAATTAGAATATATTATAATATACCAGAGAGGTAGACGGGACTGTATTTGTAGAGCTCAACTTCATTAATCTCGGCAACTGGAATTGGCTGATTGTTGACTTTCTTTGCCAAGTATTCTAAAACGAGCTCTTGGTCGGTGGGCATGAATCGGTAACCTGGCGGGAATTGACCCAAAGTTGAAGCTTATTCTATTGACCTTTCTCTCCAATCATAATCTGAAGCTGAATTATGATTATTATTATTATTAGTAACAGTATCATCATCAATATTGTTATTCGCCATGCCTGCGAATTAATCGTAACAATGGCACTTGAAAAACTTGAAAAGAGATGAGTCATAAATTTATATTGCTTTAATTGGGCGCCACATAGGCAGAAAATAAGGGGCTTTTGGGCCAATCAGCGCCTAATTCGTGTTTAGTACAAGTGATTTAGAGTTTGTGTCGATTTAGGACTTTTGTTTGGCTATTTAATTTTATTATTTTATTGCTGGGGGAATATTTTATCAGTTATCACTTTATATTTTAACAGAATACTTATCGCTTCTCTGATGAGATTCCTGTTCTTTCCTATGTAAATTAGAGATGTGTAAGTCGTTTTAGATTGTCTTAATAAGTGAGAATCACATTGATAAATGGAGATACAAGCATTTGAGTGATGAGTAGCAGTTCAAGGAAGTGAATACTAGTACACTAGATTGCGTTTGGTTATGAACTATTAATAGACTTATTCCATAATTAACACTCTTTCTTATTCAACATATAAAACTGGGTTGAGTCCAGTCCCATATTTGAGACCTTCTCCAACTGAACGTCAAAACTCAATTTGTGCAGTGAAATCTCTTGCAACCGAACGGCAAACGCAGCGGCAATTTGCGTTTTTGCCTTCTCTCTCGTCCTCCAAGACGCAAATTTGCGTCTGGACGCAAAATATGTGTTCTATCTTTTTTTTGTTGGCATTTTAGTCCTTTTTTTATGCTAATCTTATTTTCTTCTTTTTGTTTTTGCATTTCAATCCTATGATGATTAAATTAATGGATATAAATATATATTTATCAAAATAGTAAACTTAATTTAAAATACTAAAAAATCTTTATCTCATAAAAATTAAATAGTATTATTTTCAAAATAATAACTATTATATTTATCATCTAATTCTATATATTTCACAATAATAAAATAAAATATACATATCATTTATGGTATTTTTATATAACAAGAAAAGAAAACACTAAAATTAAATGACAACAACATTACTAATACAGATTGAAATAACATTAAAACGTGATACATTACGATTTAAAGAAAACCATTTAAATAACAAGTGCTGAAAGAAATACAACATCACACAATACTAAAATAAAAAATACATCATAAAGCCACAAACTAAAAACAAGTACGAGAATTTAGTAATCTGGTAAGTTGGCACCGCTTCCTCCAAGATCATTGAAAAATTGGTCAAATGTATTGGTTGGAAATGGATCCGATTGGGCTTGTTGGGCTCTTTTCTCCATGATTTGTGCCTTTTCAGCTTCAACGTATGCTCGAACTCTAGGATCTGCTATGGAACTGACATCTTGAAGTAGAATTCTATTTTCTTCCCTCATTTCTTTTAAAGCGTGAGATCTGTCTCGTATTTCTAATTGATGTTTTATTTGATCGTTTGTATTTTTCATCTCCTCAAGAAGTCTTTTGTTTTCTTCCTTCATAGCATTGATAAGCGACGATGAATCATCATTTACCTTTCTTTTTAGTTTGGCTTTCTTCACCCCTATAGGTCTTTCAGATGGAGAACCAGTAGCAAATTGATCCGAGTCGCTTAAATTTAGAGAAATTGAAGAAATACCTCGGGATTCTTGTCGGGTAGACTCGGGAGTTGGATTTTCTGACTCCGAAGATGGATACCGACCAGATTGTTTTTTCTTACTCCTCGAAGCTCCATCTTGAAATTTTTCAAAGTTTTTAATAATATTCCAATCATGGTCGTAATTCCAACCGGATTTGAATTTGGAATCTTCTTTGAACAACACTTTTGCTTTGAGCATCTACAATTTTTCATAGACAATCAAACATAGCTAATATAAATAATAAATTTAATAAATAAAAAATATAATAAGATTTTAATACTCACTGTATCTTCATTTGAAGCACCATTTTGATGCATATCTTCTACTGCTTTTATGCATGCATGGAGTCTCTTGGCTGCTTTTTCGATTGTTTGAATCCGTGCTTGCATAGATCTCTGACTACGAACCTCTCAATGCTCAAGTCTTCGTTCATGGAAAGCTTTTTCTATACTTGACCAAAATCAGTTAGATGATTGGTATACCACAATAATTGAGTCCTGAGAAATATCCATATAAACTTGACATAAAAGAATATCTTCATCGTGGTTGTAGGAATATGAACGGATCGACATTCTTACAAGAAGTTAGATGTGATAAAGGTTTAGTGTATAGAATAAAAATGTTGGGATGTAGCCACTGCAATATCATATCTTCTTTTATAGTGAATGAGCCTCTCCTCTCTCAATGGTTTAACCCGAAATGAACACCCTCTATAAAGGTGACACGCTTCTCCATGTTCTGACTCGGAAATGACATATCACTGCAATGTTCCCCACACCTCTCAATGCTTTGACCTAAAAATGAGGACTCTCTGCAAAGGTGATCACGATTCACCATGTTCTGACTCGAAAATGACATATCACTGCAATGTGGGAATGCTTTGACCCGAAAATAAGCACTCTCTGCAAAGGTGGCACGCTTCTCCAAGTTCTGACTCGAAAATGACATATCATTACAGTGTTCCCCACACCTCTCAATGCTTTGACCCAAAAATGAGGACTCTCTGCAAAGGTGATCACGATTCACCATGTTCTGACTCGAAAATGACATATCACTGCAATGTTCCCCACACGTCTCAATGCGTTGACCCGAAAATGAGCACTCTCTGCAAAGGTGGCACGTTTCTCCAAGTTCTGGCTCGAAAATGACATATCACTGCAGTGTTCCCCACACCTCTCAATGCTTTGACCCGAAAATAAGCACTCTCTGCAAAGGTGGCACGTTTCTCCAAGTTCTGACTTGAAAATGACATATCACTACAGTGTTCCCCACACCTCTCAATGTTTTGACCCGAAAATGAGCACTCTCTGCAAAGGTGGCACGCTTCTCCAAGTTTTGACTCGAAAATGACATATCATTGCAATGTTCCCCACACTTCTCAATGCTTTGACCCGAAAATGAGAACTCTCTGCAAAGGTGATCACGATTCACCATGTTCTGACTCGAAAATGACATATCACTGCAATGTTCCCCACACCTCCCAGTGCTTTGACCCAAAAATGAGCACTCTCTACAAAGGTGGCATGCTTCTCCAAGTTCTGACTCAAAAATGACATATCACTGCAATGTTCCCCACACCTCTCAATGCTTTGACCCGAAAATGAGCACTCTCTGCAAATGTGGCACGCTTCTCCAAGTTCTGACTAGAAAATGACATATCACTGCAATGTTCCCCACACCTCTCAATGCTTTGACCCGAAAATGAGGACTCTCTGCAAAGGTGATCACGATTCACCATGTTCTGACTCGAAAATGACATATCACTGCAATGTTCCCCACACCTCTCAATGCTTTGACCCGAAAATAAACACTCTCTGCAATAGTGATCATGCTTCTCCATGTTCTGACTCGAAAATGACATATCACTGCGGTGTTCCCCACACCTTTCAATGCTTTGATCCGAAAAGGACCTCCCACTGCAAAGACTATCACGTCTATCAATGCTTTAACCTAAAATTGACCACTCCCTACAAAGTATACCACACCTTTCAAATTCACTACTATAAGAACATGACATATATTAAATTCTTCACACACTTGAATCTCTTCAAACATCTTATCATATTTCTCAATCCCACATTTCTACAATGAATTTTAATTTTGGTAATTCGTTATCTTCTTCATCTGATTCTGAAGATGATCATATACTAATTATGACTGGTTTTCATAAAAAACAAGCAGTGATATCTCGTGTTATCGCTAATAACAACTTCGTCATTCAACACCTTCTCAATCAACAAAACCAAGAAGCCTCCCATGGAGGTTCTGTTCCTGGGCATATTGTTATCAATCATGATCGAGAGGCTGTTGATCGTAGGTTATACAATGATTATTTATCAGAAAATCCATTGTATAACGAGACCATGTTTCGTAGAAGATACAGAATGTCTCGCTCGTTGTTCTTTCGAATTGTCGATGCAGTCAAAGATCATGATCATTACTTTCAACAATGAGTGGATCGAGCTGGCAGACTTGGATTATCTCCAATACAAAAATAACTGTTGTCTTTCGTATGTTGGCATACGGCGTTCCAGCAGATGCTATAGACGAGCATGTCAAAATTGGTGAGTCTACTACAATTGAAAGTATGAAAAAGTTCTGTCAAGCGACTGTTGAGGTATTTGGCGAGCGATACATGCGGAGACCCATATCTGATGATATTTCTAGGCTTCTATATATTGGTCAACAACGTGGTTTTTCAGGAATGTTGGGGAGTTTAGATTGCATACATTGGAAGTGGAAAATTGTCCTACAGTGTGGGCAGGCCAATATGCTGGTCGTAGTGGAAAGCCTACAATCATTCTTGAAGCTGTAGCAGATTATGATCTATGGATATGGCATGCTTATTTTGGTTTGCCGGGCTCCAACAACGATATAAACGTTCTAGAATCATCTCATCTTTTCTCGGATCTAACCCAAGGTATTGCTCCTCCAGCTCATTATATAATTCAAAGAAAAGAATACAACATGGGTTATTATTTAGTTGATAGCATATATCCAAAATGGTCTACCATTGTGCAAACAATTCATGAGCCACGTGGTCCGAAGAAAAAAATATTTTGCAATGAAACAAGAAGCGTGCAGAAAAGACGTTGAACGTGCATTTGGAGTTCTTCAATCACGTTTTGGCATTGTAGCAAGACCAGTACGTTATTGGCGAAAAGAAGTGTTACATGATATCATGACCACATGTATAATTTTGTATAACATGATTCTCGAGGATGAACGTGACCTAAGTGCACCAATCGAAACTGAAATAGAAACGTCGCTGTCGGAGGTCGAAATGACAGTAGATGAAAGTACTCGCTTTGGAGAATTCATAGCTTGGTACAAAAAAATTGGAAATAAAGATGATCACATTGCACTTCGAAATGCACTAATTGATCATCTGTGGGAGGAATTCACCAATTCCGAGACTTGAAAGACTATCTATGTTTACTTGATTGTTGTAATTTTTAATTTCTCATCTTGTGGGTTGTAATTTTTAATTTCAGCTCGTGTGTTGTAATTTTTAATATATAATCTTGTGCGTTGTAATTTTTACTTTTATCTTGTGTGTTGTAATTTTTAATTTATCATCTTGACGTTGTAATTTATAATATTATATTGTGTGTTGTAATTTTTAAATTTTAATTTTTAATGACTATTTATCTCTCCGATTTTATTATGTATATGATTATTACTTTATAATTAGTTTATTACATAAAGTCCAAATTGAATTGAAAATAATAGTGTGGTTTAATTTGTATAGTTGTAAAATATGTGGGTAGTATTGAAAAGTTGTAAAAGTTGATGTAAAAGAGAATAGTCCGAGAATATTCTATTGGGTTGGAGAATGGGTTTTTCGATTGAAGATGAATTACTGCAAAATGGGATAGGTACTGCAAAATGGGTTTAAGTTTGGGGTATTTGGTTGGAGATGCTCTGAGTTTGGTTAACTTGTTTTAGTTGTATGATGTCCAACTCATGATTTACTTGAAATAGTAATAAAAAAAATGCTTTACAAATCTGACAACTTACTACCGAAAATAAGTTACTTGAACGTTTTTTTCTCTTTCTGCTAGACTCGCGTGGAATATTCTCTCCCTCTATATCTCATCGCCAGGTAAGCTACATTTTTTGTTGTATTACGTATGTAAATGCATAATTTTGACAAAAATATATATTAATAAATATCATTACATTTATAATAAAATTTTAAAATGTAATAATTTTTTCTTAAGTTTTTTTTAGGTAAAATAGTATATTTTTTTTACAAAGTGTGTACAAATAAATACCAAAAAATTATAATTTAATCTACTATTTAGATTACAAAATTAATTTTTTTCTTCAAACTTAGTTAATATTTCAATAAATACTAAATATATGTTATAGTAAATAAAATAATATTTATATAAATATTAATATATTTATTTAAAATTTTATTTTATTCATTGTAAGATGATAATTTAAATAATTAAATATGTGTAAAGTAATATATCTAATTTTTTTCTATTTTGATATTAAAATATTATAAAATAAAGAGGATAAAAAAGATATTATATATTAACTTGAAATAGTATGTGTAGTTTTTCACTAAATACTTTAGCTACTAAAAAAGAAATTCTATAGAATTTTTTATTTTTTTATTTATTTTTATTTGCAGCATTGTATATTTTATCGAAGATAATTTTTTATTTTTAAAAAGCATAAGTTTTCTAAATATGCATAAAGTAAGAAATAATTAATTTACCTCTTGATATCTACCATCATAATATATTTTTATTTATTATAAACATTTGTTACATGAATTATTTCATAAAATTAATATATTTAAAAAAAATAAAAAAATTTCTTTGGATAATATCAAGTGATTGAAATAGGTTACTGTCCAGGTGGATAAAATTAATTTTAGGTGATATTTAAAATAGTAAAAAACAATGAGACAACTAGGATTGATTATTGGTCACGGGTCAATTTGGTCAGACCAAATCGATTATTGAAACTAAAGTAGAAACTTTAACATTAAAAATACTTTATTACGATAGATGTAATGTATCCAAGCTCCAAAGAATAATTTTATGAAAATACTATCAATAATTTATGAATCTATATCATTCTATTAATATTTGTGTAAACAAATGATATTGTATTAAAACTTCTATTAATTAATGGAAGATTAAGGTTTGTTATCGAACCGAGCAGGTTATTTATTCAATACATTATTGGATGGAACAGGAGTTAATTTATTAATATTAATTAATAATCATTTTATTTACATATGTGTTTTTATTTATATTCAAAGTAACTTGAAATGTTACAAAATTTATTTAAAATTCGTACAAATCCTACTAGTTTGAATGACTAGTACTGCTACAAAAAAATATTTTATTCAAGCAAAGCAGACTGATCAATAAATTGGCACGCAGTCCACTAGGTCAGACTATTCAAGCGAGGGACTGGTGCTGATTTGTTCACAGACAAACATTATATTGTTTTATACGATGCCTGAATTAAAATTGAATATGTCAACATTTCTGTTAGATGATCTAAAGTTGAATATGAAATACATTTAGTCTTACAAAATGCGACAAAACAAGGGTTGTGTGTGTTGTATTTCATAATATATATAATATTTTAGTACATTATCTTAGAAGAATATTGTTTTGGTGTTTTTAGACATATTTCCATTAATATTTTAAAATTTTTTAGGTAATTTCATACATTTTTTGAAAATAAATATAAAATATTTTATATATTTTTACATGTGTTATATAAGTTCTTTTAATATAAATTGTATTAAATTATAAATAGTGTTTAATAGTGTTTTTAGGATTATAAATATTATTTAAATTTGTTTACAATATATATATATATATAGGGGCTGGTTTAAATAAAAACTAGTCCTGGTGTGAGAACTGTGAGAACTAAATTTGATGCTATTTTTAATTATGTATTATGCTATTTTTAATATCACATGGTGCTATCACTTATACAAATACTAATATAAATTGTGTTGCTATTTTTAATAAAATACATCCATGTTAAAAATAGCATTAAAAAAAAATTAAAGCACTACTTACCATTAAAAATAGCGGTTTTCACAGTTCTCACGCTAAAACTTGATTCTCATTAAACCACATTATNNNNGTAATACTCTAGTACATTATCATAGAAGAATTTATTTTTGGTGTTTTTAGACATATTTCTATTAATATTTTAGAAAAGTTTAGGTAATTTTATACATTTTTTGAATATAAATATAGAATATTCTAGATATTTTCACATGTGTTATATATGTGCTTTTAATATTTTGAATAGACATGTTTTACGTTGTCTAAGCAAGCCAAGTTAATTGTAGTACATGTTAACTAATATCTTTAATTATAAATACTATTCAATACTACTTTCAGGATTATAAATATTATTTAAAATTGTTTACATATGTGCACTGGTTATAAATTGTTAAATTATTTATAAATTGTATTGAATTAATTGTCAAGTTTAGAATAATTTGCTAACACTAGAGAGATTTATATTAAGTATGGGCTTATTGAGTAATGCATCATAAAAGTTTATGGAAGCACCTATTCATATCAAATGAACCGACTTGATTGTGGTCGATCGCATAATTTATTACATAATGTTTTGGCAACAAGGTGAAAGATGAATTACAATGTGGAAAACTTATATGTTTAATGGTGGATTAAAATTAAAATTGTTATTTTTACTTTATTTTATTAAGAGAAGATTGTTATTGTTATTTTCACTCTATTTTATTAAGAGAAGAATGTAGCATCATATTATATTTCTAAATAATGATTAGATTAAATTATTATAAAATTAAAGTGAAAATTTATTCACATCGCGCTTTGATATTTGTTATAATATGATTGTTGGGGAGCAACTAGATAAGTACGATGATGAATGAAAATAATATAATACAAATCCTTAACAAACTCAAAGTCTAATCTAATATTCCAATCCGATCACTCCAGGTAGAAACACGAACTCTCCGCTGATGGGCCTTAACTCACACTATTTATTGTTTTGTTATACATTTTTTTTTATTCAAAAGCACTATAAATAATACTTTCTGGGAACAATCAATAATCAATAATCAATAAAACGAATAAATAACTCACTAGCTTTGATGGAGGTTGAAGTTGGAGACCGAACTCATGGTGTGGCTTCAACATCATCAAATCAGAGATCGCGTTTTCCACCGGGCTACCGTTTTATGCCGACCGATCAAGAACTCATTGTTGACTACTTAGCCAAAAAAGTCAACAATGAGCCAATTCCAGTTGCTGAGATGAATGAGGTCATTCTTTACGACTCTCCACCCTATCTCCTCGCCGGTATTCACTTTTATAGTTTAAATAACTCCCACTCTACTGTTTTAGTATTATGTTTGTTATTATTACTTGTAAGCTTCTTTGGTGCTTCAATTCATGCTTACTTATTAGAATTTTAATTACTATTTTGGTACTTCAGATTATTTTTTGTTGTTTGTTTTTCATGTTTGAACTTTAATTCACACTCATATACATACACACCATAGTTATTGTTACTGTGTTAAAGTACCTTTTTTTTATTTTTTATTTTTTTAATGAAAGTACAAAGAAAGAAAGAAGTGAGACATTAAATTTGGGAAAAAAGGGGTTTAAATTATGTCAATGTTAAGATTTCTGCTTGACCGGATGAATAACAAGTGAAAAAGCTTCGACTAATGAGTGCAGCCTTTATGTACATCTTGAACATAGAATAATTATTGTGCAACTGACCTTCTTATATTAATTCACAACATTTTTTTTTCATTTATTGAATAGAAAATTACCCTCAACTTGGAGATAAAGAATGGTACTTCTTCACTCCACGCGACCGTAAATATCCAAACGGGAACCGACCAAGTCGATCAGTTGAAGAGGTAGGCTACTGGAAGGCTACAGGAGCCGATCGAGCAATTTTCTCAGCCAATGGCGAAATAATCGGGAGGAAAAAGGCTCTTGTTTTTATGTGGGAAAACCTAGGCCTGGGGATGCAACCAAGACCAATTGGATCATGCACGAGTATAAGCTCAACACTCCTTCCAAGAGCCCTAGTTGTAATGACAAGAGGGTACTTGCCTACCTTCCCTTTTTTTTTCTTTTTTTTTTTATGGCAGAATTTAAAAAATGGTCCACTATTTTGGCCATTTTCTAAAAAATGACCATCATATAGGGCGTTAAAGCAGGTCCACTTTTTTCAACATTTTTTTTTCAACTATAAAAAAAGGGTCCAATAAGTTGCCAATTTAATCAAAATTCGTACAAAAACCAATATAGTGTACTAAAAGTGGTTGCCATTTTTAGTACACTATGTTGGCTATTGTACGAGTTTTGATTAAAAGTGACAATTTAATAGACCATTAATATTGATGACACCTTATATGATGAACCTTTTTCATAATAAAACTTGCCTCTAAACCTTTTATAATAAAACTTACCTCTAAACCTTTTAAGTGTTCTTGTTCATTTCCTCTGGATTTTATTAGGTTTTTTTTTTTTGTTTATTAGGGTTCATTGATTACTAACATTTAGCTATCTTAACTCGAGCTGTTTATGTAGTTGGATGATTGGGTCCTATGCCGGATTTACCAAAAGCCCAAACGGTCGAAGAAGAAACAAACGGATGCGGATGATCGTGTTGCGGACGAGGAGGACTTAGAGAGCCCGTTTTTCTCCGAGAACAACGAAATCAAAGAAATCGAGGCCCACGAAACCAATGAGTTGGTCATCATGGACCAAGTGACTTTGAATGCTATTCAAGACAATAGTTCGATTTTGATGAACAATAGTTTTATCAGAAACGTTGATGGATACCATCATCATTACCATCATCAAGCTCCGGATAACATATACATTAATAACCCATACACCATATTTGACCACGGTGTAGCTAATCCCATTACAGCTGATCCCATTGCCGGTCACGTGAGTTTGTATGGTCAACATGGCAGTTTAGTCAACCATGGAATGTTTTACGCTCCACAGTTTGTGGCAAACCAACAGCCGAATATTGTGGGAAATGATTCAATGGGAATATTGTTGTTTAATCAATATCGGACTAATAGCTATGATTCGCTTGACGACTATTCCTCAGATGTCAATGTCGACATAAAATTTGCCGATGGATGTATAAATGGTGATGAGGGGCACGCTCCTTATGATGGTGGGGTCCAAAAGCCGGATTGCTAACAATTTGAGCTCAAGAAAGAGGTAAAAGCTCAAGAAAAGGTAAATAAATAATAAGGGATGCATGCATTTGAATTTTTTTTTTTTTTTTTTTTNTTTTTCTATTATATGGTAGGGGCTTAGTTTATGGAATTGAGAAGCTACAGGTTATTGCTTTCATTTAGGGTTGTTTTGAGGTTATGAGACATATATGTCAGTTGTTTTGAGGTTATGGGGGACATATGTTTGTTTAATTAGTTAAACTCTTCTGTAGCTTTTTGCTATGTTAAATAATTTGCTTGTGTTTTATTTCTCTGGAATATTGGGGAATCTATCTGGGAGGACATAAAGCAGCTGTTGTTGTGGAATTGCGAAAATGTAAAAAGTTTAAATTTGCATTTTGAATGAATGTGCAATTGTAAGGTTAATGCGTTCAGTTATATCGAGTCAACGAACGTATTACAATTTACAAACTTTAAGAAAATTAAAAATCATCGGCAACAATTTCACTTTAAGTTTTACATTAAAAAAAAAATTATTCTTCAAATGAAATATTCTTTATTCACTACAAGAAAAAAGGCGTTCGGTGATGCTTATTAGCGTCACAAAATACAAATATTCGTCGATTCAAAATACACTATTAAATGTGTTCGCGAGTTGCGTTATTGATGTCATGAAATTATCTGCGACGCATAACTTTAGCGTAGATACTTTTTGATACGTGACGCTTTTTGGTATACGTCACTTTTGTAGAATATGTGACGCAAGCTATTTGCGTCTCTAATAGTGCTTGACACTTTTTTTAGTGTGTCATCATTATAAATTTTGACGACACACCACAAGTGCGTTGTAAATTTTAAATATGACACTTTATTGCATTCGTCGTTATAACAATTTTGATGACACAAAATTTGTGCCAGGCCCACAATTTGGCCCGCTTCGAGGCAGGCCGACTTTCCCTGCCTCGCCCGAACCAAATTTGTCTTTGTTTTTTTTTTTTTTTTTTATTATTACCTATTANATTATTATTATTACCTATTAAACCATACATGTGTAGAATATAAATTGGAGCAAAAATTAAAATATTCTCATTCCAACAAACAAACCAATAGTCTTACAATTCAAAATACAAATATTCAAACATGATAATTCATGAAAATTAAATAATATTCTAGCAATCCAACAAAAACACCAATAGGCAGAACCACAACTTCAGGAGATACTTGTACTGAGCTGCTATTAGAAATGATCAATATACAATATCTAGATACCCTTTTTGCCTTTGCTTCAGCTCCAGCCTCATTCTAGACACCATCTACTTGCTTATACAACTGCTAGGTAGTCTGCTTTGTTCTGCATTTCGCTATTTCGCGATCTCAAAGCTCCCAAATGAAATGTCTTCCAGCCTTAACATACAATAGTATGCCTTAAGTATATATAATTAAATAATTACTAAAGCTCAAAACTTCAAGAATGTAAATTCAGAGTCACACTACCTAACTTTAGATCTTTGACTCCTTTCAGTTTTTCGACCTTCTCTTTGTTTTCCTTGATGGATTTTTTAAAATCTTGATTCCTGCAGCCAAATAATCAGCAACACATCATCTCAAGCTTCAACTTAAACTAAAAAGATGCTGTTCAAGATTCAAGAATAACAAATAGCATATGAATTTCAAAGCAACAACAAATAAAGATGTTGTATTTAGCATTGAAGGACCATAGGCAATTGAATTACCTAATTTCACAAGAAATATGTTCAGAATCTTCTACAAATGCTGTATATACCCTAATGGTGTGAATTATGGTTGGGGAACTCCAGAATTCTACCCAGAAATTTAGCAGCACCATGAGTGAGTACCTAGAGTGAATCTAATAGCCTAATTTCTTGATTTTAAGAAATATTATACTTTGTTATGCAATCAATCAACTCAGAACTCATAATTCCATACAATCCACGGTGGTAACAATTGAGCTAAAAAAATCTTACATAGATATACAATATGATGTCTAGGCAAATTCACCATCAATTTACTAACAAAAATTAAAATTCCATAATCACTTCAAACAATTAAAGTAATATTATTGCAAGAATTACATAAAAAAGCAACAATTCGCCATACTCCACAAAAGCCAGTCCCATATTTCACTAGAAGAACAAAAATCAAGACAAAATAAACATAAATTGAGAAGCAGAAGTAAGCGTACCATGCTACAACGTCGAGTCGGAGGCTGGGCGAGGTCGACGGAGATGTCAAACACTTTTTATCGCTGGCATGAACTAGAGATGAAGAAAGAGAGGACGAGGCGAACTGAGGCGAGGTCGAGGAGGAGACTAGGGATAGCAATAGGGCAGGTCGGGAGGGTAGTTACGGACCGGGACCTAGCTCGCATACCTACCCCATGGACCTGACCTGGCCCGTGACCTGCGACGGGTTCAGCAGGTCAGGCCTGCGACCTTTCCTGGCCTGTTTAGAGAGCAATTAACAACACTATATGTGATTGGTATTATGGCCATCAATTAATAAAATGACAAAAAGATCGGACAATGGCTTCTAGTAAGCTGTTAAAGAGCAATGACAGAAAAAAAAATGGGCTTTAGATGAAATCAATAATTTCATGTCAAGTTTGATAGAATTAGGGGACAAATATCATCCATTGAAAGCTAAAGTAATGTACCAAAATCAAGAAACGCAACAAAGAATTTGAAATTTATTTTGTTCAGTCAATCATTATGTCAAACACCTTACATGCTTCAGATCCAGACCATATTTTAACATTCAACTAGCAAATTCAAACCATATTGTGCAAATAGAACCAAAATTCTAAATTCCACAATCAATTCAGCACCAAAAATGTAAAACCCAAGATTTCAATCAAAATATCAACACAAGAAGAAGAAAAAAAGGACGAACATGGAAAAAAATCGAATCTTTGAAACAAATGGGCTAAAAGGGCCTTGATTTATGCAAAGAAAAGAACATTCTAGAAAAAGGGAAAAGGAGCACCTCGAAGAAGGGTCCATGTAAAGCGACGGTGGTCCTTTTTCTCGCCGGGCACCAGCAGCTTCCAGTGCGCATAAGCCGTAACTCTCGTAGGCGGTGGTGTACCTCTTCTCACCAAGGAGCAAAATCTACCAGCTTCACGATGCAATTTACCCGCGACTGAAGGAGGCCGAGCCGCCTAGGTGGATGCGCTGAGGCGAGGCGGGGCGACGTGAGCAGGATGAGGAGAATGAGAAGCTTGAGCTGAGGCGTGCAGGAATGAAGCAGAATGGGGGTGGGAATGAGAAGTGACAAACCCTACTCCCTAATCTATTTTGCTAATTATTGTATTGTAACATTGTACTCCCTCCTTTTTTAATTAGATGTCGTTTTGACTTTTTTGATTCATCCATTTTGCTACGTATCTAGACATAAAAATATGTCTAGATACGTAGCAAAATGGATGAATCAAAAAAGTCAAAACGACATCTAATTAAGAAAGGAGGTAGTATGTATTATTATAACAATTTTATTTAAAACTAGTACGTACCGGTGCAATGCACGAGACATCTATATTAAATGAGTTATTTTTACCGTCTTTGTCCGTTTAAGTATATAAAACAATAAGGTTATCATATATTTTTCACCTCTCTTAATCAACGTATAATTGTAGTAAAATAATTAATATATTATCTCACTAATACATTTATACTACTATAAATTTGATTTTAGTATATATATATATATATATATATATATATTTATTTATTTATTCCTTGATATAAAAGAGAATAACAATTTTACTTATTCTTGTTCACCATATAATACTTAATTATTATTTTATTATAAACTTTGTTGTCATATAATGTCATTATTATTTATAAAATTATGGAAGTTGTACGTCTTCTTTTTCTTTTTATTTTATGTAATGAAAAATATTTAATGCACAATAGTATTATTTATTTATGTAATCAATTTAAAATAAGTAAATAAATTTAAAATTAAATAGTGTGTAAATATTTTACAAAATATACACATGTTTTTTTTAGAATTTAATTTTGTATACTAATTGAACAAATTTGATTTAAAAATTTTCAAAAACTCAATCTCTTCTATGATCAAGATTTTTCTAATTCGCATTATAAGGATTTATAGTTTATTTAGCATACTCTGCAATGAAAATTTATTTTACAAGAATTTAATTATAGAAATAAATCAACATAAAAAAAATGAAAAAAATAATCATGGATGCCAATAATATACAAATAAATTCTAAAAAATAGTTAATATATTTCAATTTTAGTTTTTTACCATTAGTAAAACTATTTAATGTATATGATCATTATCTTTTAAATAGTAAATTATATTGATTTGAAGAACAATTTATTTTTTATATTTAACAAAATAAAGAGTAAGAAAAAAAGTATATTGGCAAAGATTAATTCACCAACTTGATTTTGTCAGATTACTTGGAAAAACAATTCTACCTAACCTGTACGATTTTCCATAAATATTTTTGTATGAAAAGTGAATATTTGTGAAAAAAAAAAAATTATATTATGGTTAGAACTTAAAATATGGTGTAATATTTATCTTGACCAAAATATTATCAACATGGATCATGAAAATAAATCTTGTAATTTATTATAATGAATATCAATGGAAGTATTACAAATATTAACAAAATACTATTTATCTTGACCAAAAAATTATCAACATGGATCATGAAAATCAATCTTGTAATTTATTATAATAAATATGAATAAAAATATTGCAGATATTAATAAATTTATTTAATTTTTTGATCATATCTTATTTGATCTTATTTGAAAACGTGTATATGTAAGCAATTAATGTATATATTTAAAAAGTTTTCAAAAACGGCATGCATTAAATGTTTTCTAAATTTTTTTGCTACTATTTTTAGTAAATGGTAATTCTTATTATATATATATATATATAGATAATGTAACACTTGTTCAAAATGTCTCTAACTAAATAATTACGTTTTCTGAAGTGTTGCTATATGTTTAAAAATGACGACATAATTGTATAAGTGTCATAACATAATTACACTTTGAGGTAAGTGTTGTCATATTAGTAAAAATTGTGACATTATTTTAATATAATTTTTAAATTGTGTCGTCATATAACTAAACATGACGCCAATTTTTTATAAATCGTTATGATTTAACTACACTTTTGAATAAATGTCTTAATTAATATTGATTAACATGCTGACACTTTTTAGAAAGTGACATGATTTAATTACATTTAAAAAAAAACGTTGTTATGATTTTATTTTTATAACGTTTTTTAAAAAGCATCACAAACACATCAATTTAATTACACTCATTTAAAAAGTCACCGTATTTATGTTGTTAGAACTCCTTTTTGTTGTAGTGGTTATTCTTTTAGTTTATTATATTAAAACAAAATGACATAGTATGTAGTACAAATATTCACTTAGTTAAGATTTGTTTATAACTCCATAATTTACATGTTATACGCAATGCATTTTACAATGCTCTCTGTCTATGTAAAATATTCGTACAATCGAAATGAAAACAAAGGAGGATTGATTCCAACAAATTAAATCCCGGCCCCCATCTTCTAGGATCTGTACAAGTGTAATTTTATTCTTGTGCTCGGATTTCGCCACTTACAAGTGTAAAGAAAAGATGATGCCCCATCATGACCACCAAACCAAATCAACGCTGCATTTTAGCTGGAATGAACATATTATGTTGGGCATGAGAAATCTTATCTTGCGAACGTTCTCCATAGGTTATTATATTTAGTTAAATTTAATGCTCATTCTCCGAAAAAATCTAGAAACTAGTAGACATGTATAATTTTTAGAGGGTAAAATTTCAAAATTAATCCTATAACTTGGCCACTGTCCAAAAAACTATCTTCATATTGACTACTTTTAATTTAGGTCCTATAATTTGTCGATTTCATCAATTTTGGTTTTGTTTATCTGCATCCTGGATTAAAAAGTGACGTGACATGACGTGTCAGTTTTTTAATGTTACATAGCATGATTATGATCTACGTGGCACGTCAAATTTGGTCCTATAATTTGTCGATTTCATCAATTACGTGACACGTCAATTTTGGTACTATAATTTGTCGATTTCATCAATTTTGGTACTTTTTTGATGCCACGTCACTCTTTAATTCAGGGTGCGGATAAAAAGGACCAAAATTGATGAAATCGACAAATTATAGGACCTAAATTGAAAGTGGTCAATATCGGGGTGGTTTTTTGGACAGTGGCCAAATTATAGGACCAATTTTGAATTTTTGCCATTCTTAGAGAATTAATAAAGAAATACTTATTCATTAAGAATATTAAAAAGTCAAATTAATTAGGGGCTGGTATGAATAACATCAACCGACATAGTGAATATATAAATATGCGTATGCTGTATGATAGCATCGATCGATATATTGAGTACATAAATATGTGTATGTTGTATGATTTGGTGCAATGAAAATAAGCAAATTTCTTTGCATCAACTACTCTTACGATGATTTAATTACTCATTATCTATTCAACCAAACCTCTTCAGCACATAACAGTTATATACATATCTGAATGGGAGTGATTTTGAATTTTGAGACCGGTGGCAAGTGACCGACGGCGGTGAAGACAACAGACCAGAAACTCATTTT